ATGAAATTTCTATGGTATCTGCAGGTCTTTTAACATTTATCAGTAACCTTTTCGCTCGTCTGCATAATAATGCATTGCCATTTGGGGGAATCAGAGTTTTATTAATTGGCGACCTTGCTCAATTACCTCCAATTAACGGATCTCAAGTATTTCGCTCCCCAGTCTGGTCTGATTTTTATCCCTTATTCTTAACGACTCCACGTAGACAAAGCCATGATTCTACCTTCTATAGAATATTAGAAGATGTTCGTGCTGGAAATTTATCATCTACCACACTACAGATGATTGAAGAAAAAGTAAGAAACCCTTCCCCACGTTCTACAACTGATACTACACATATTGTTGGATTTCGCGCCATGGCCGATGAAATAAACAAGCTAGCCTGTTCATCCTTACCTTTAGGACCTGAAGGACTTGATCCAACTGTATCGATAGCAATCGATCATATCAATGGTCAAGAATATGATCCGTACGATAACAATCATACCTTCCGCAATCAAACAAATTTACCTTCAACCTTAATTTTACAACAAGGAGCACGCGTTATGTATCTTGACAATCTTTTGTTTGAACATGGGCTTTGTAATGGCTCTATTGGTGTTGTTACCGATATTATAGATGAAAATACTATAAAAGTTGCATTCCCGACATCACAAACAATTATTACCGCAACCGTAAAAAAAACAACAAAACATTTTATTTTAAATGGTGCGCCTGCAAATCGACATCAATTTCCTCTACAAAATGCTTTTGCACTTACAGTGCACAAAACACAAGGGTTAACGATACCTCACGTTTCAATATCCATTGACGATCAAATGTTTGCATATGGTCAAGCTTATGTAGCATTTAGTAGAGCACCAACTTGGGATTCGTTAAATATCACATCGTTTGAACAAAACGCCATCAAAACAGATCCAGCAGTTATTACAGAATATCAACGATTAAAATCGTTACAGAATCGAGGCCTTGGTCGATTTGTACAATAATGATACATAATATGTTAATTTATATTACCGTTACTAATTTTATATTATCTGAACTTTTAAATATTTGACTCTATTTTTTTTTTCTAATAAATGTAACTATTTGAATGACATAAACCAACTTCCTTAATATATTCTTTATTCTTTACAGAGTTTTGAAATCTTAAACTTGCAAATACTAACAATTTGCCCGTCACCATTGTTAAATCAG